AGCGTGACCTTGAATGTGGCATCTGCCCCAGGAAGCCTGCGGGTGCCTGGCAGGAGAGAGCCGCACGAGCCACGTGGTGTCAGAAGACCCTGGTCCACATTGCAGCTCTGCCGGGCAGGCCCGCGCTGGAGGCTCCCACCCGCCAAGCAGGACGACAGACACCACGCCCGGGGCCAGAAGGCTCCACTGAGCTCGCAGGTCTGACGCTGCCTGGCCACCCACACAGCTGCACACGCGACACTCGGCGCCACCTCCATGCGATTCGCCAAGACACGCTGCCACGTGCCCCAGACAGGCCTCGGGATGACGGTCAGAGCACACATATCTGCAACCGCAGCCCGGCCTCTGGGACCATCCATACCACTCAAGAGCAAAGGACTGGAAGAAGGCAAATCTGAGGTCTGACTCGAGCCCAGCACCATGTGCCGCAGTTCCCTGGGCGTGTGGGGCGACTTCATGTGTATGGTCAAGACTGACGGGCGCCGAGCACGGAGCGTGGCATGGGGGCTGTTATTACTGCCACCGCTGACACTGATCAGCCGTGGCACCCGAGGCCACGGCTCCATCGCGACTGGTCACCTGCAGGAACACACCGAGGCCAGGGAGGTGGAGGTGGAACAGCCTTTCGGCCATTGCGATGGAGGGCGGACCGGGGGACCCCTCGAGGGCAAGCGGGAGGTTGGGGATGCGGAAAGTGACCCCAGCCATCACTCAAAGGCTGGGGCCCATAGAAAGTCACCCCAGTCGTGAGACTCAAAGGCTGGTCCCTATAGAAAGTCACCCCAGCTGGGCTCGGTGGCTCAGCCTGTCATCCCAGCACTTTGGGAGGCGAGGCCAGTGGATTGCCTGAGTCTGTGAGTTCAAGACCAGCCAAGGCAGCTTGACGAGACCTCGTCTCTACAATAAAAAATAAAAACCTCGCTGGGCACAGTAGCACACGCTTGTAGTTCTGGCTACTTGGAAAGCTGCGGTGGAAGGATCACCAGAGCCCAGCAGGTCGACACTGGGGTGACCGTGAGTGTGCCGCTGTGCTTCAGCTTGGGCGATGAGTGAGACTCCAGCTCAAAAAAAAAATCACCCCAGCCATGACAGCCAAAGGCTTGTCCCTATAAAAAGTCACCCCAGTTGTGACACTCAAAGACTGCCAGGCCGTCCCTCTGCCAGGGATTCTGGCATTTTAGTCCAAGGTTTTTTGTTGTTTGTACCAACCAAAGTGCCACCGACACCAGTGACCTCAAGAGCGGCGAATGCTAGAGATCTGGTGATGTTCTAAGGCCATGGGTATCATCTCCAGGGCGCGGTAATAAACCCCTCATTAAGGCAGGCAAAACAAACACTTCAGGGCACTCAGCCTGGAGCTGGAGGACTCCCCGTGGCGAGACCCACTTACACTGAGTCCTCCTGCCACCTGCCCGCCCCTCCCTCCCTTCTACTGTGCTCCCTTCCGTGCGTGCGGGCTTCCCTGGGAAGACCCCCCACCCCCACCCTTGCCGGCAGGCCCCAGCAGCCAGGTCACCCCAGCCAACTCCTGGAGACATCACAGACTTCAGCCACATCCACAGACACCAGCGCTAGTGTCAGCTTTCAGCCATTCTAGGGGACCTGGTCAGACCCGCAAGGGCAGAGGAGCTGAGAAGGACACTTGGGTGGATGGGACAGAGGCTCCCAGGAGGGGCCGAGGAGGAGGCTGGACCCTGGATGGTGCTGCCCAGCCCCCTCCGGGCCTGCTTCCAAGGTGAGCATCAGAGCCAGGCGTGAGCAGCCCGGAGCTGGAAACAAGGGTCTGCTTGACTCTGGGCACGCACACAGGCCCCGACGTGTCCAGGCGTCCTGAGCAGAGCTGGAGCTCTGCCCCTGAGCCGGGCTGCCATCCTGCCTTCACTAGGGGTGAAGGGCACAGACACCAGCCGCTCCCGCACCGCGGAAAGGCTGTCTGCAGACCCAGAATGCCGGCTGCACACCCTCGGCTGGCAGGACATGGCCCCTAAGCCACCTGGCGGAGCCCTGGTGACCCCTCTCACACTCCTACGTCCGCCAGGCCCTCCCATGCCGGGATCCCACGCCCCGCCCAAACCTCGCTGTGCACCTGTCCACTGTCCCCACCCTGGGCCAGCGTTTCTCCATCTTCAGCACCACCAGGGTCCCGGGGCCTGGGAACGCGGCCCCGGTCCCCCCCTCTGTGACTCAGTGTCTGTGGGGCGGGGCCCAAGGCCTCGTGTCTCTCCCAAGTCCCGGGCGCGGGCACGGGCTTCACCTTGAGGGCCGCTGGCCTGACCCCAGGGGGTCGACGCTCCAGCGAAAAACGCCCTCCTCACGCAGGCCTGACCCAGGGGTAGCTGAGGTCCGGCTGTCCCCAGGGCACCCCCTGCCTGGGCACCCTCGCTCCCTAAGGGGTCGTCATCAGGACAGTCACGACTCCCACCCTGTCTCCTTCCTCCCCCACGCTGCCCAGGATGTGGAACCACACAGCACCCCCTTCCTTGTGCCCTTCCCTGGGGGACATTTCCCGGGAGGCCCTGCCCCCGCTCTCCCCGTCCCCAAGCCTGGCCTGGATCCTCCTCCTCCCTGAGGGTCCAGAAAAAGCCTCCCCTCCTCCAGGCCTTCCCCAGAGCCCACCACTGCCCAAGGCTTCCTGGCCACACCACACCACAAGGTCAAGGCTCACACGGGCAAGGCTTACACGGACAAGGCTCACACGGGCAAGGCTGGTGGGAGGAGGGACCGGGCTTTGGGGGCTGGCTCCACCTGAGTGGGGACGGACAGCCCTGAGGCTGAAGGGAGCCGATGTCTCTGCACACTGCCACCCATGTGAGAGGCACCACTCACCGGCCACACGCCCGTCCACGGGCCTCAGCCCAGTTGCACACCGACCCTGCAGAGCCAGGAAATGCTGCTACCTGGGCCCGGTCCCTGGAAGCAACATCCCCGCAGGGACACCCTGTGGTCCTCCTCTCAGGGCTCAAGAAGCAGGACAGTCTCAACGCAGGGACGGCGGCGGGACTGAAAGTCGGGGAGCGGGAGGAAGAGGAAGTGGAAGGGGGGACTAGCAGCCCCTACGACACACCGACATTGTGCCACGAGTGCCCCATACGTCCCCCTCCTGATCGCCACAGCCATCCCAGGAGGTGGACACCATGTGCCCGTCTGTCAGAGGAGGACACGTCAGCCCAGGCTTGGGGATTCATCCGGCGACTCCACCACAGAGCCGGGGCTCAAACCCATGGAATTGGGAGCTTTCCCGCTCACCGTCCTGCCCTGGGCGCTCAGTGCAGACCCAGAGGGGAACGTGCCCAGATGCTCTTGGCCCCGGGACCAGGAGGAGCACACTGGACCCTCCAAGAACAGGAGGTAAGTGGCTCGTCTTCCAGCTCACGACTGCCACCTGCTTCAGCTCCTCCCCTGTGTCCCCTGCGTGTGGGTCAGCTTGCCCACCAGGCACAAAACCCCGGGAGGCCGGGACACACCTCATGCTTCCCCAGCACCGCTCCAGCCACACACACAGCAGCACTCAGCAATGCCCTGACTGAGTTGAGCTTGCCGTGCCGGTCACCAGGCCCTTCCCTGTTCCCTCATATCTTGGACACGGGCAATGGACAGTGACCCGTGCCACCTTCAGCCAAGGCGAGGACAAGCCCAGAAGAACAAGCCCTTCTGAGACCCAGCAGCCAAGGGGGAGGGGGACAGGGCCTCCCTTCTGAGCGGCTCTCTGCGAAACCGTCTGCAGCCTGGAGTGGCGTGGGCCATTCGGCCCACACACGTGTCATGATTTCCATTTGTTATTATTTTATTTCGTTTCATTTCATTTTCAGAGACAGGGTCTTGCTCTGTCACCCAAGCCAGAGTGCAGTGGCACGATCATGGCTCGCTGTAGCCTCTAACTCCTAGGCTCAAGCAGTCCTCCCTCCTCAGCCTCCCAAGTAGCTGGGACTATAGGCGCACGCCACCGTGTCCATCTAATTGCTTATTTTATTTTTAGAGAGAGACTCTTGCTCTCTTGCTCGATCACCCAGGCTGGAGTGCAGTGGCGTGGTCACCGCTCACGGCAACCCCAACCTTCTAGAAGGGCTCAGGAGATCTTCTGCCTCATTTCCGTGGGTAGCTGGGACTACAGGCACATCACGCTAAGTTTTTTTTATTTTTTGTAGAGACGAGGTATCCCTGTGTTGCCCAGGCTGGTCTCAAACTCCTGAGTTCAAGCGATCCTCCCGCCTCGGCCTCCCAAAGCACCAGGATTATAGGCTAGGATTACCGGATTACCATACCCATAATTTTAACTGATTTTAATTAGTTGCTATCTTTAAAAAAAATGAGAGGTTAGCCGGGCTCGGTGGCTCAGCCTGTAATCCTGTGCCTTTGGGAGGCTGAGGTAAGGGGATTGCTTGAGCCCGCGGGTTCGAGACCCAACTGGGCAACTTGGTAAGACCTCATCTCTACAATACATCAAAAATTAGCTGGGCGTGGTAGCACGTACCTGGAGTTCCAGCTACTTGGAAAGCTGAGGCGGAAGCATCGCCAGAGCCCAGCAGGTCAGGCTGTGGTGGACGGGAGCAGCCACTGCACGCCAGTCTGGGTGACAGAGTGAGACTCCAACTCAAAAAAAAAAAGAGAGGTTTCGGCTGGGCACAGTGGCTCAAGCCCGTAATCCCAGCACTTTGAGAGGCCAAGGTGAGAGGACTGCCTGACCACATGGGTTTGAGAACAGCCTAGGCAACTTGGCAAGACCTCATCTCTACAATAAATCAAAAAATTAGCCAGGTGTGGTCGCGTGCACCTGCAGTTCCGGCTACTTGGAAGGGGAGGCGGAAGGATCACCAGAGCCCAGCAGGTCGATGCTAGGGTGGCTGTGGGTGTGCCACTGCACTCCAGTCTGGGCGATGGAGTGAGACGCTGACTCAAAAAGAAAAGTCAAAGGTTTCACATAAAATCTGGATGTCTGTAAGCCACCCTTCACTCACCCCACCCCGACTCCGGAGATGCCACCCACCTGCCCAGGCACTCACCGGCACTGAGCGTGGTGAACTCCAGGAAGCGGTATTCACAGGACACGTCTGTCTTGGTCTCCACCTGCGGCCTCTTCAGGGTGGAGTAAATATTCCCAGGCCGCGTCTCGTCCCGCTTCTCCAGCTTGTTCAATCCGCAACCCATCTCAGCAGCTGCCGGCAAAGCGAGAGGGGAGATGCTCCCTGAGATTTTGTTTTTGAACACCACGGTAGAGAAGACCTGTTATTTTCCCGAGGAAGGCGAGGGGGACCCCAAAAGCCCCAGAATCATCGTTTGGAGGGCAGGACCCTTATAGTACAGGCTTCTCCCCAGGTGAGTGTTCTAGGGACCCACCAGCATCCGTGGACCAGCTTTCGTTGTTGGGAGACGCTGGTTCGGCTTCAGTGAATATTTTTTGGAGATTCTCTAAGTGTGTTTGCCCATTTCATGATGGGTGATTCATGAGTGTACCTGCCCACACCTCGCTGAGTCTCCAGCTGTTTTGACCCCAAACAGCATGACGTCTGCACCCCATCCTCCCAATTCACCTGACCTCACCCTGAGCAACCTTGTTTTTTGCTTCCCCAGATGAAAAAGTCCTCAAAGCCGGGCTCGGCGGCTCAGCCTGTCATCCCACGCCTTTGGGAGGCTGAGGTGAGTGCACTGCCTGAGCCCGCGGGTTCGAGACCCTCCTGGGCAGCGAGACCTCATCTCTACAATAAATCAAAAAATCAGCCGGGCGTGGTAGTGCGCGCCTGTAATTCCGGCTACTCAGAAGGCTGAGGCGGAAGGATCACCGGAGCCCAGCGGGTCGAGGCTGCGGTGGCCGGGAGCGGCCACTGCACTTCGGTCTGGGCGACAGAGTGAGACTCCAACTCTAAAAAGAAAAAAGAAAAGAAAAAGTCCTCAAAAGTCCTTGTCGATGTGGAAGAGGTGAAACAAAAAACGGGAGAAGCACTAAAAGGCATCAAAATAGGTTCAAAAACCTCCTTGAACAGTGGGAAAAAAACCATCTTGATAGGTGTATAGCATCCCACGGAGAGCACTTTGAAGGTGGCTGAGGTTTAAACATGTGAGAATAAACCCACAATCGTTTACAAAGAAATTCCAGGTTTCTTGGGGCCCCCCATCACACACAAGGGCCTCGCCTTCACGAGGGCCGGAGCACGCACACGCCCTGCCCGCGCCTCAGCCCCTCTCCCTGCTCAGGCCCCCGCCGGCCGTCATGGGATCTCTAAACGACACCAGCAGCGGTTCTGTTTCCATCCAGCTTTTCCCCATCGGAGGGAAGCACTCCTCAGAGGCCTCAGGCCTCAGTCCTCTCCGATGTGCACACACGGTTGAGAGACAGGCTCTGAAAGCCACGTGGTGCGTCACGGGTCAGCCTGTGACAACAAGGGACGTGTCACCGTCACCACGGGGGCTGAGGGAGGAGCTGTGGGTGCAATTTCAGACTCCAGAGTCCTTTCTGCTCTCAACATTAATCACTTAGGCAGGAAATTCATATTCATAAAACACTTCTAAACGTAGATGGTGGCGTTTTATTGGCCTCGGCTAAAAGTGCCCCTTTTCAGAGCACACCGCAGGAAGTAGCAGCGTGCTCCCACGCGCTTAGAGTGATTGTAGACCAGAATAAGACCCGACCGGCCCTGGCAGCAGGGCTGGAGAAGGTGGGGGCAGAGACCCTGCATCAGAACCAGACCCTCAGTCGCAGCTCGGAAGGCAAATGGAGAAACGTTGGGACGTCACGGGTGTCAGGGTCGGCTGGGTCCAGGCCCTTGGGAGTCCAGCAACCAAGGCTCCCTCTTCCCCAGCAGATGACACTCCCAGAAGGGCCTTCCAGCCACGCCCCAAACTCCGCAGAAGGCGTTCATTCGGCCCCTCCTCGTGGGGTCCCAGTGCCGCCACCAGGGCACATTTCACAAAACTGTGAGCTGGTCAGGAATGTCACATGCAGATGCAGCCACCACATCCCTGGAGACAAGCACCTCCTCTGCCCGACCCAGCAGGCTACAGAGACGCAGAGAAGTCCCCAAACAGCTACAGGGGCGTGGCTGGGAGCGGGAGGAAGCGGCTGGCCACGGCCAGGCCGTGCTTTCCGGTAACCACAAAGTCTAAAGAACGGACGAGAACAGGAAGATCTGCTCGTGTCTTAGCAAGGGGACATGGGGTCTGAGAGTGGGAGCGGACATGATTTATGTGCAAGCTACATGGACTGATTACGTCGGAAGCCTTCTGCGGTCCTGCAGGTGGAAGGGTGGCTCGCAGGAAGGCTGCACACAGAGCCACGGGACAGCAAGCCGCCGGGGCCCGCCGCGCACAGCAGGACAAAGGCAGGCGGGGCAGCCCAGGCCGGGACAAGGAGGCACCGACACCCTCAGGCAGACCCGCACTGCCCCGAGAGTGGCCAGATCCCGCACTCCTGCAGGCTAGCCCTCGGCAGAGCAGCTCTCTGCAGAACACGCAGCACGGTCCTTGCCCTGAAGGGGGTCAGCCTGCTGGACAGGCAGACCTTCAAGTCACGCACAGGACGCGAATGGGCGGGGGCTGGGCGCTGCTGGACAGAGCTGGGTGTGACTCTGGAGACAGAGGAGCTCACAGCAGGAGCAGGCCCTGAGGGCAAGAGGGCCCACTGGGAAGGGCAGGGTGGGTGGACGGGGCTAAGGTGGCCTCCGGAGCCAGGCCACCACTAGAATAGGGAGTCCTCCTCTGAGGACACAGTCCTGTGCCAGCTGGGGCCTCCAGGGCATCAGGGCTAGATCCCAGCCCCATGCTCCCGGGTGAACAACCCTGATCACCGCACCTGGAGGCACGGATCCGCAGGCAGTGTTCGGCAAATCGATCATGAGAGGTCGGCCGTATCAATATTCCTGGGGGGCAGGGTCTCTTCAACAGGACACGCAAGGCTCTTGCCACAAAGGAGCCCCTGACAGAGTGGACTATGTTGAGATCTAAAACTTCCATTCCTCAAAATACTCTCAAGGAAGCGCAAGGTGACCCAGAGACTGCAAAACTACTCATCACCGCCGGGCTCGGTGGCTCAGCCTGTAATCCCGCGCTCTGGGAGGCGGAGGTGAGTGGATTGCCAGAGACCGCGGGTTCCAGACCCGCCTGGGCAACTTGGCGAGACCTCATCTCTACAATAAATCAAAAATTAGCCAGACGTGGTAGCACGCGCCTGTAGTTCTGGCTACTTGGAAGGCTGAGGTGGAAGGCTCGCCAGAGCCCAGCAGGTCGAGGCTGTGGTGGATGGGAGCAGCCACTGCACTCCAGTCTGGGCAACAGAGTGAGACTCCAACTAAAAAAAAACAAAACTACTCATCACCCCTCTACTGGGGTGCACGGGGAAGCCCACTCACCAGGAAAGGACAAAGCCCGCAGGCTGCCCAACTCTGAGGTGTGAACACCCGCCACAGTGGGTCCCAGCCACTGGCGTGTGTCCCTGAAGGCAGCGGCGGGAGGAGGTGCCTGATCGCTCCCGAGAGCCGGCAGGTGCTGCCTGACACCCCTGTGTTCACCCGAGGACTCACAGCCCGTCCATCAAGGACTCCCACCGATCAGCAGGGAAGGCAGGTGACCCGCAGCACCCCGGGGGACGCTGGAAGGGACGCTCGCCAGTGAGGAAGAGCACGGGACAGGGACCCTTGGAGGGGCCATGGGAGGTGACAGGCGTCCGTCAGGAGAGCGGAAACCCTCCGGGAAAGTGCCCACGCCAAGTGCCGGCAAGGCACGAAGCAAAGGGAGGCCCTACACGCATGATGAGTATGTAAACTGGCACCAAGCAAGAGAGATGACTCTACCCCGCCCTGTACCCGGAAACCCTCCCCAGGGTACACCCACAGAAGCAGGCACGCACGCTGGGGCAGCACGCGTGCAGACACGGACGAGAAAGCCCACGGCAGCACGAGGCGTGACAGCCCCAGGCTGGAAACTGTCCAGACGCTTACAGAAGAACAGAGAGTCAGCCGGGTGTGGTGGCTCATGCCCGTCATCCCAGAACTTTGGGAGGCGGAGGCGGGAGGATCACTGGAGCCCAGGCATTCGAGACCAGCCTGGGCAGCATAGTGAGACCTCATCTCTTCAAAAAAAAAAAAAAAGAAAGAAAGAAAAGAAAAACGAGCCGGGGCATGGCGGCGCGGAGTGGTGCATGCCTGTAGTCTCAGCTACTCAGGAATGATCACTTGAGCCCAGCAGGCTGAGGCTACAATGAGCCCTGATCGTGCCTCTGCACTCCATCCTAGGCAACAGAGTAAGACCCCAACTCAAAAAAATACAAACAAACGAGACCAGGCTCCATGATCCAACCTGTAATCCCAGCACTGTGGGAGGCTGAGGCGAGGGGACTGCCTGAGCCCACAGGTTCAAGACCAGCCCAGGCAACTTGGCGAGACCTCGTCAGTACAATAAATCAAAAAGTTAGCCAGGTGAGGTAGCGCACGCCTGTAGTTCCAGCTACTTGGAAGGCTGAGGCAGAAGGATCGCCGGAGCCCAGCAGGTCGACGCTGGGGTGGCCATGAGCGTGCCACTGCGCTCCAGCCTGGGCGACGGAGGGAGACTCTGACTCAAAAAAAAAAAAAGGAAAAATAAAACAACCAAACAAAAAACCTTAGTGTGAAGTGGCCCTCACTCTTTGGGGAGAGGATCCCAGCTGGATCCTGCTGTCCACCACTTTCCTTTTATGCCTTCCAGAAAACGCCATCCTGTCAAAATGTTTTACATGAATTCAGAAAGGTCTATCACAGTCCCTATGGGGCTCAACACAAGTAAGAAAAACCCAACTTACAAAAAGGAAGATTCAAGCCGGGCTCGGTGGCTCAGCCTGTAATCCCAGTGCTTTGGGAGGCCGAGGTGAGTGAATTGCCGAGCCCGCGGGTTCGAGACCTGCCTGGGCAACTTGGCGAGACCTCATCTCTACAATAAATCAAAAACTAGCCAGGTGTGGTAGTGCGCACCTGTAATTCCGGCTACTTGGAAGGCTGAGGCGGAAGATCACCAGAGCCCGGCAGGTCAAGGCTGCGGTGGCCGGGAGCGGCCACTGCACTCCAGTCTGGGTGACAGAGTGAGACTCCAAATCAAAAAAAAAAAAAAGGAAGAATCAGACATGACAATGCCTCAACTCATCATGGTGTTTCACGCACTGCTGCCCACCGCGTGAGGTTCCCCGACCTTACCCCTGACTCCGGGAAGAGGCTGGAGACACGGGGTGCT